GATTTATTCCATCACACCCAAAGCCAAAAATGGTGAAATTTTGACTCCATCAGAGATGATGGAAAAAGTAAAATATAGGAATTGATAGTATTAAATATACTTTTTTAGTAGGGACCTAGAACAATGTAATACTACATTATGAGGGACAAAAGACATTTTTTTGCCTTAATTAAATGTCAAGACTCAAGCATGGTTTATATAATTTCTAAACAACATGCCCAATATAGGCCCACGCCCATCAAACGAGAGAGACGTGTAAAAAATCAACTACTCTCCTGCCCTATTCTTTGATTGCCAAAGCTTCCTATCTAAGGCCATGTCCTCAGGCAGCTTAATTAAGTTGTCATATCTAATAAATTTCCTTTCGTTCTTTTTTGGCCGACCTCTACTTAGCTCCTACAATTGCTCAACTCCCACCTCTCGACTCACCCATTCTCACCTTTTTAGCCAATAGAGCTAAAAGAGAGATTTTCTTACTGTGTTTTAGAAAGGACATACAAAATAAAATGACCTATCACACTTCCCCCCTGCTTCTTACTTTATATGGAGTTTTGGGATGTAAATGTAGTACTGCATTAAGGGCTTACTGGAAATAGTCTGTTTTTTACAAGGTTAAGGTTGCATACGTCTTGACCCCCTCCCCAAAGATCCCAATGGATTTTGAATTATATTGTGTTTTGTGTTGTCGTTGATTTATATAAATATGGTTTAAATATTCTAGATATGTTCGGCATTTTAACACATCTCCATGGGGAGCCATTGAATGAAGTTGAATTGAAATTGTGATGGGTTTGCCATTATTTGTGATTTATTTCTTACTCGTATTATGCAATGTCTTATTTGTCATTGAATGCAATGCATATTTGTTCAATTCTTCTTGGCCATTTTGAGCGTTCTGCTTAACGCAATGTCTTATTTATCATTGAAGTTTATCATTTTTTTTATTTATGATTAGGTGCGTCAAATTTTCAAGCCCTTAAAAACCCTTGGAATTCATACTATCAGTTTGCATTCAGGCGCCTCCATGGACCATCAAATTCAGGGGTTAGTATAATGTTCTTGCTTTTCTCCCGTTTAGATTATTGTAGGGAAAACATATGTGTGAATTAGGTATGTAATAATAAAAATTTCTATAAATAAAATATAGTCACTTGTGATAAATTCTTGCTTGTGTAAATTAGATATTGATCTTTTGTTGAATGTGATCATCTCTTATGAACACAATCAATATTATCGTGCACACCATCACTTCACTTCTCCAAATACATTACTTGCTCTAAATTTTTGTTCTGCTTTTACACCTCTTTCGCCTTATGTCACTCCGACTTGAGTACTATTCGGGAATCAAAGTTAGCTCATACTTCTAAATTTTGAATAAATAATTTGGAATTCTTAGTCTCTATATTATACGAGTATACGATAGAGTGAGTTAGAATTTAGAAAACAAATTATAAATCGATTTATTTAGTTTGAGCCGAGATACTATTATCTCCCAATTCGTGTTTTTCCTTTTCTTTCCTAGCATCTTTTGGCTTACGGTCAGTATTTGTTTTTGACAGGCTGAAGAGTTGTGATCCGCAGTTTCTTATTGCTACACCGGAGAGGCTTCAAGAGCTCATCTCACATAATGCCATTGATATATCTGGGGTTTCTCTTCTGGTACCAATATTTCCTTACCCTGCCCATTTCTTTATCCTCTTAGCAATTGTTTTAAAAACCACAAGATGGGTTGATGGGATCTAATAACAAACCCAGTAAAATCCCACAAAAAAAGTATTTTTTGGAGCAATGGGAGCCTCCTATTTGATTATTTTTTTTATAACAGTGACTATCAAGCTATCATAGTCACTGATGGCCTGTTTGGTTAAGGTATTTTTTGGAGTAATGGCTGAGTTTTTTTCAAGGGAAAAGCATATGCTTATTCTTCTGATAGACATGTCCACCAAACAGAGCTCTACTCATTCCACTTGATTCATGGTTACAGGTTATTGAAGGACTGGACTATGAGGTTGGCAGTATTGATACAATCAAAGCCATTAAACACCTCATTTCTGGGAGGTCACAAACAGTTGTTTTCTGCGATTCCTCAAGAAGTCCTTATATTTCAGCTGTAGAGAAACTTTTGCAGGCTTCATTCTGCAAAATACCCTCCGGTGCATGAACGGCGATTTCTTCATCGCTAGTCATTCTGTTCTAACACAGTAAGTGTCACACTGTTTTTGATCTTTCATGCTGCATTTGTTTCCTTCACATTCTAAAGGTGGGGTTTTAGCCATTGTTGTTTAGGTGACCATTGAAGCTCCATTTGGCAGCTCTTTTGGCTTATTTATTTGGTTGGGATTGTTTTTACCAAATGCTTTTCTTTTAATGAAAATTCAACAGATTCAGCTGTGGGGACATTTTGGGCAAATACCTCTTACTACTTACCAAACATTGCTCTAATTCATTAGACTTATCAAAATTGTTCTTCTTTTGGCTGGTGGGAAAGCTGTTCATGAACTACTAATGACAATTGGCTGCAGTTTTTTTTATGCTTGCTGTTTTGTATAAGGAATTTGAAAATGCTTTGTTGTGTGAAAAATCTGTTTTCTAACATAGCCGTTCTATTCTGTTTGGCATGTCATAACTTTTATTTTTTCCACCACCATTTTGTACAGAGAAGCAAATATAAGTCTTTTTGCTTTTTTTTTGTGAAAATCATTTTACCCACAACTTAATGACTTTCAAACACTCTCTTAATCCATGCCAAAGACTCTTAATCCATTTAGACTGCATTTGGCTGCATGGTTCTCATGTTGGCATTCCACACCTCAACCACAATCTCAAGCAGCTGCAGAACAGCAACCTCGGCCTTCGCAACAACATCATCGGAAACCTCCGCCAGCGCACGATCCGCCGCACTCTGGAGGGAGAGGCAGTAGTTTCCGAACCACTCGTTCCCCCACTTCCGACATGCCTCCTTCATCTCCGCCGCGGCGCGGGAATCGTCACCCAAACAGTGACTGAAGCCGCGGTGGTAAACGGTCTCCATCGCCCACAGCACCGCCAGTCCGACCGCGTAGTTCGCCTCTGGGCCCACAAGGCCCCGGAGGAACTTAGAGAGGTCTCGCGTTGGTTGCTGAGGATCATCGGCATTGTTAGCTTCCTTTTCCAGACATGGAATCTGGTCGGCGTTTCTGAACCGGATTCCGGTCTGAATCAGGCTCGCGTCCACGTTGGATTCGGGCAGGAGATTCGATAGGAAAGGGACGATGGCGTTTCTGGCCAGCCAGTGTTCTTGCCCCTATAACAAGAATAAGTTATACCCCACATCAAGATTTAAAAAAAACACTGTAGTGGTGTTTGCTAGTACTATCCATCCCAATGAAATAAAAACATCAGTATAAAAATAATTTAACTAGATTTATCTAGTTGTAAACTTTCAAAATTTGATTTCAATTGTATTCAAGCCAGACTTTAATAAAACCAGTAGGCCTGACAAAAAATGACCCGACTTGTTTTTGACCTGAAACCCGACTTGAAAATGCTGGGTTTTGAACAAAGGTTTTGATGACCGAACTCGAAATTGACCGAACCCGAAATGACCCGCTAAAAAAGGGTTAAACCTGACCGAACCCGAACCCAACCGACCTGCTAAAGTAAGAGTTTTTCAAAATCATACACTTTAGTTCTCGTTTTTAATATATAAATTTATATTTTCAGATAAAGTTTTAATAATATTGCCTAATTATCTTACTTTTTTTATAAAACATAAGCATTTTTTAAATTTTTTATATTGATTTATATATCTAAAATTTTAGGATTTAAAATAGAATAATCTAATAGATTTAATAAATATTTTTTGATATTTTAAATTTATTTAATAGAAAATGTAAGTGTTGATGTGATTTTAAAAATTTAAAAAACGAAAGCCACAACCTGTTGAGTCGACCTGAACCCGATGACACTGGGTCATAAACATACAATTCTCAACCTGAACTCGAAATAACCCGAACTCGAATCCAACTTGACCGACCGATTTGCCAGTTCTTAAAACCAGATTAGACGAGGAGAAGAAGCTCACCAGGTAGGCTTTGAAGGAGGAGAAGGGAACGGCGCCGTCGCGGACGGCTTTGATGAAAGGGTGTCTGGCGGCGGCCGTGAACAACGCCTTATGTTTCCTCTCCCATCTTTCGGTCATTCTCTTTTCATTCCTTTCATCTAATTTCCTCTCCATTATTTTATTTCTATATATTTTCAAATAATATACTCCGTATTATTATTAATTCTTCTACCGGAGTGGTTTATATATTACCTTCTCCTCCGCCGCCGCCGCGAGTACCCATTTTATAGCGGCTTGTGGCGGAGGGCTCTAGCAGGCGGCGCGTGGAAGCTAGCTGGTTCGCGAAGGTTATGTGTAACTTACACCTGTCGCATATCCTAGACTCCACCTCATCTGGTTTGTGACTTTTACACGTGAATGGAGGTCGCTCATTAATTGTCAAGCTATTTCTTTAACAAATATTAAAAAGAATTTTTTAGTAATGTAATTGCATGTTGGCGGTTGGCTATTGGCAGTTCATGTCAACTGTTGTGAATGGCTGTTTAGTTCAGCTGGTTTGACCGGCAAGATGAATTGGCTGATTGTTAAAAATGTTTGGTAAAATTATGTGTTTGAAAATAGTTTTCATATATATATATATATATAGTTTGGTTCAAATAAGAATGAGATCTAATGAAAGAAATAAGAATGATTTATATATATATATATATATATATATATATATATATATTTCTATGTATGTATGTATTTATTTATTTTCATTTTTTTTTAATCTTTTTTACACACACGATATTTATTTTCATTTTTTTTACATGTAAAAATTAAATCTTTACTATATGGAGTATTAAATTTTACTTTCATTTAATTCATAAGAACTTATTAATATACAACTTTTTAATGATTTTTACTTTTTATTTTCTCATTTCATTTTTTTGAAATTTTTAATTTTTAAATTTAATTTCTTTAAGTATTTAATTTTTTTACTTCTATTTTTATTTTTAGTTTTTAAATATATTATAAAATATCTTTCAAGAAAAATAATTTTAAAAAAATTAATTTTCCTAACAGCCAAATCCAAACGCTACTCTCCCTGGCATTTTGGATTTTGGCTTTTCGGATCAAAATGCCAAGTGAAAAAACCATTAGCCAAACAATGATTTTGTCTGTTCGCTCATTCAAAAAAGCTAAAGTCAGTCAAACATGTCAAAAGCTACTCGAAAATCCGTTTTCCAAACAGGACCTACGTTTTTAAAAATATTTGCATGACTTTAATCTTGTAATTAAATACCCTCTTCGTCCCATAAAATACTTTCTGTTTGAAAAAAGACGCGCCTTTAAAATGAGTAGTTTTAGCGTTATTTTTAAATTATGACTCATTTATTCTATATATCGCACTCTCATCTATTATAAAATAAGAGTAAAATTAAAAAATAACATTAAATATACCCATTCTAAGGGTGTGCTTTTTTTCGAACAGAAAGAATTTTATGAAACAGAGTGAGTAGATTGTTTGGCTACAATTTTTCGACAAACATAATTGCAGTTTAATTTTTCAATAAATAAAATTATAATTTGAATTGTACTCTAGAGTAATACAGTGTTATAAAAATATAAGTTTAAGTATCTTATATTCACACCAAATAAATATGGCTTAAATTTTACTAAAATATAAAAAAAAAGTATAATTGATGGAGTAATAATCTAGCTTTTTTAGTAGTAACGGTTCGGTTCGGGTATTTTCAGTTGAGAACTCATCCCGTATCATTATCAAAACGATTTGGTTCGTTTCGAGATATAATTTACTAAAACACTTGAAAGCCCGTTTTCTTGATCCCGCTGGTCCAGTTCGGATCAACGTTGAACCTGTATTTTTGTTCATCCCCACTTCCCCAGTGGTGTTCGAAATAAAATTGGGATAAAGCTATTTGTACCCCAAGTTTTTGTACACCACTTTGTACCCGTAGGTTTGCATAAACACAAAGTGTTGATGCAAAACTAATTTTTGTTGATTCACCAACATTTTGTGTTCGTGTAAATTTTTGTTAACGTACCAATACTTGTGTCGGTGTAAACTGTCAAAATGTTTGTCTATAACTACGGTGTACAAATGGAGTACAATTTGCGGTGTAAATGTTGCATGGTTGATAAAATTGGATCCATATTTTTGCCCACACCAAATGAGAAAGTCAAAGGGTGTAGTGGTAGTGTGGTTACATACATTGGGTGGAGCAGCGTCCGTCTTTTCCAGCATTGAATAGAATTGATGACCTTCGGTAGCGCAGCCCCCAATTTAGCCTGGCCACCGACGATTCATTTAATGGACAATTTTATGGGCGATCCTTGGTTTATATAATTCCACTCCTTTCCTGTTGTTTGATCAAAGAAACATAAATGATGGTGATGGTGATGATGGGTTCACTCATCTCCTCATTGTTTTCTCACTACCATCTCATCTTCTTCACCTCCTTTCCTTTCTTGGTTTCCGCCTTCTTCTTCGTCGTCTCCCGCTCGAGGAACTCCAAGTTCAAAACCAACTTGCCTCCCGGGCCCCTGGGCTGGCCGCTGGTGGGCAACCTGTTCCAGGTTGCCCAGTCCGGGAAGACGTTTCTGCAGTACGTGAGAGATCTGGAGCCGAAGTACGGCCCCATTTTCACTCTCAGGATGGGGACGCGGATGATGGTCATCGTAACGCGCGCCGATTTGGCCCACGAGGCTCTCGTCGAGAAGGGCCAGGTTTTCGCTAGCCGGCCCATGGAAACCCCGACCCGGACTATCTTTAGTAGCAACAAGTTTTCGGTCAATGCATCTGTTTACGGGCCGGTCTGGCGGTCCCTTAGGAAAAATATGGTTCAAAACATGCTCAGCACGACACGGATGAAGGAGTTCCGGGCCGCCAGAGTGGCCGCGATGGACAGGCTGGTCGAGAGGATCGGAACTGAGGCCGAGGCCGAGGGCGGGGCCGTTTGGGTGTTGGCCAATGCTCGGTTCGCCATTTTTTGCATCTTGCTTGCAATGTGTTTCGGTGTTGAGATGGACGAGAAGAAAATCGACGAAGTCGACCGGACGATGAAGGCCGTCCTCATTGTTCTCGCTCCGAGGATTGACGATTTCCTCCCCATTTTAAGCCCCTTTTTCTCCAAACAGAGGAAAAGGGTGCTGGAAGTGAGGAAGAAGCAAGTTGAAACAATCGTCCCGTTGATCGAGAAGCGCCGCCGGGCACTAGAAAACCCCGACGAAACGGCAGCGACGTTTTCCTACCTCGACACTCTCTTCGACCTCCACGTAAACGGCAAGAGCTCCGCCCCGACAAACGCGGAGCTCGTGACCCTGGTTTCCGAGTTCCTCAACGGCGGCACCGACACGACCGCAACCGCGGTCGAGTGGGCCCTGGCGAGGCTAATCGAGAATCCCGACATGCAGTCGAAGCTGTACTCGGAAATCAAGGGCGTGGTCGGGGACAAAAAGGTCGACGAGAAGGACCTAGACAAAATGCCCTACCTAAGCGCGGTCGTAAAAGAGGTCCTACGAAAGCACCCTCCCACTTTCTTTGCCTTGACCCACGCGGTCACGGAGCCAACTAAACTGGGAGGGTACGACATACCGGTAGACTGCAACGTCGAGTTCTTCCTACCGGCCATATCCGAGGACCCGAAGATATGGACCGACCCCGAGACGTTCAACCCGGAGCGGTTCATCTCGGGCGGGGAGGACGCCGATATCACGGGGGTGACCGGAGTGAAGATGATGCCGTTCGGGGCGGGAAGAAGGATCTGCCCGGGGTTGGGAATGGCGACGGTGCACGTGAACTTGATGTTGGCGAGAATGGTTCAAGAATTCGAGTGGTCCGTTTACCCGGAAAACACCAAAGTGGATCTCACCCATAAGTTTGAGTTCACGGTGGTCATGAAGAACCCGCTTAGAGCCAAGGTCAAGCCTAGAGAAGTAAAGCCATGCTGAATCATATTTTGAGTGACAATATAATTAGGGTACAGTTAAATAAGTAATTAATTACTTAATTACATGGTTTGCTTCTCTCTTTCAAATTTCAATTGGTTGTCTATACATTATTTATGGAGTATATATACTCATTCTGCACATTCATTATAAATCAATATTGAGAAAATGTAAAATTGCCAAATTAAATTCTCTAATAGGATAAATAATGTTTTTTTTCCTGAAAGGGGATAAACAATGTTTTTCTTCAAAGAAGTCTTCCTCTTTTTTTTTGTGACAATAAAATACACTTGATTTTTTTGGACTTGGGAGTTGGAACATGTAAAGCACGGTTGACTTCATGCGGNCAACGATCTTGTTGTGGAATTAGGGCTCTTTGGAATAGCGTTTTGAATATTTTAATGGTGCAGATTACTTTGAAAACGCTAACGCTAAATGTTGCACGTAGATAACCTTTTCAAAACGCTAATGTCTAACGCTATTCCTGAACAAGTGTTTAATGTTCTAAAAAAGTACTAGCAGTTTGTTATTTTTGTCTAGTTTTGACTTTTAGTAATTACTTAGTTTCAAGTTTTACTTTAACTTAAATTAAATTTAGAAAGTATATTGATCAAATAAAACACTATTATGAAAATATTATCAATTTAACAGTATTGTATTAATATCTATCACAGTGTACCAATTTTATTTTATAATTGGTCAAAGATTGTCAATTTTTTTTAAATAATAAGTCAGAACTACACAAATACTCAAGAACAAAAGTATTTTGTAGTAGTTATCAGTATTGTTTAATTTTTACATTTTTGAAATCAGCTTCTACTTTTACCAATTAATTCAAATTTCAAAATAAACTATCAGCCTTACCGTAAATTTGGTGTCAAATGTTTGGGTCCCCCCTGACATTTCCTCTTTTTGTAGTGTATTGTATCGAAACAAACAAACAAACACTCTTACTCTAAGGTTATTAGTTGGCGACTTGGTGTCCATATATGCACTTGTGATTATATCTTCATCATCAAAGAGGCTAGGGAGGGAGTTGGACATTAAAAAGTCACAACGACCTCAATATCTCCAACCGTGATGAGGAAGAAGAAGACAAGTACATACGAGGATTTAATGTTGTGTGGCGCACTATGCAGTTGGGCATTCATTGGGAACATTATGGTTGCCCCTACACCCACCCTACTTGGCACCACACCTATAAAACCTTACAATTAAGACGGGTCCTAAACTCGCCTTTAGCAGTAGAGCGATGCCAGGTTCACAAATAAAATTGTCACAAATCAGATGTAAATTCTCATTTTAAAATTATTTTAGGCTACTTCATTTTTTTATTGAAGTTCACAAATAGTAAATTTGTGAAATTTGTGACGATTTTATCTGTGAACCAAGTATTTCCCTTAGCAGTAATATTGCACACCTACAATTATCTTTTTGTAAAATTGATTATTTATATCATTCTAACTCCTCAAAATTCTATGCTGTCAATTAACGATCCAAAAAGGGGGGGGGAGGCATGAGGATTAAGCGTAAGAACAATTAATTTTATGAATGAAATAAATGACACTAACTTTTCAAACGGAAAGGGCATTGGGATAAAAGAATTGATTTTTGGTATCATGACTCATTAGTAGCACATGACATACAATTGCAAGATGTGTGAAAACCAAATAAAGCTACTCCCTCCGTCCTAAAATTAACTTCCCATTTGACTTTTCACGGTCTCTAATGTGACACTTTGACCATCAATATCTCAATTTTTATATAAATATATTTTATAAAAATTATATATTTCAAAACTATATTCCAAAATGAATCTATTGCTAATAAATTTATATGAAAATTCAATTTATTTTTTCCTTAATCTACGATCAAAGTGTAAAAAATTTGACTGCAAAAGTCAAATTAGGAAGTTAATTTTAGGACGGAGGGAGTATTTAGGATATGAATAGTTATTTTCGATGCATATATAGGAGAAACTTAAAGCATGTGTTTTACAAATGTGATTATGCTATACACATTTGGGATGGTATGGTACAATTGGCTAAACATCTCTTAACTAACCATAAATCCACCAAAAGTGGCAAAAGAGAATTATGAAGATCAGAAAGAGAAAATGGATATGTTGCATTGCAGCAATTTATTACTTGATCTAAAAGATAAGGAATAAGAAGATTTTTCTAGGAAGTTTCTATCATATCTATTCACTCTCTTTTACTGGTCAAAAAATATATCACGTCTAATTTTAGTCATCATATTCAAAAGCAATTTTGGTAAGTCAAAGAAAAAATACCCCCCCTCTCGAAATCTATAGAAAGTCAAAACCAAAAATGTTAGTAGAGACAAATGGAATATTGAGTATATACAACTAGATAAATATAAATATATCTCCTTGCCTCGCAATAAGCTCTCGAATCGATAGCAGTTTTGTGTACTTAACTTGAAAACATGTAGAGAACGACTCGTGTTTTATATACCCGTATTATTTTTATTGGCCCTCCCAATGAAGTGAAGAAAACATATTGTTCTAAGTTATAAGACGAATATACATGTGAAAGCGTGTTTTCTGGATGAGATTAACTTATCCTCCAAGAGTTCATTTGAGTCAATGAGGTCATTGAGACTTTAGACATGTTTAAATCACATGAGAGTAAGATTTGAATTGGTAAAAATAACATTAGATACAATTAACCAAAACAAAAACTTTGTTTGAAAACAAGAAGCATTAGGTGTTTTAGAAATGACTTTAAATAGGACTAAAACATAAAGAAAAGTAACAAAATAGGACTTTCATGTTTTTTTCCCGAAATATGAATTTGTACTGTGGTAATGTGGCACTGTACATATGCCATTATTATACTTTTTTGGTAATGTACATGACCATGTTTGGTAATGTAAGTTCTATTTCGGAATAAAAACATGAAAGTTTATTTTGATATATTTTCAATATTTTAGTTCTATCTTAGTCTTTCTCCCTTAGCGTTTTAAATGAAAATTTAATAGTCTAAGTTTTAATGTGTTTATTGGATTAATCCTCTTGGCTCCAACCAAACACCGCCCAAGTGGTTGCAATCGCAGATTCGCCATTGCCAAGGACCTCAGTATCTTTCTAAGTTCTGAACGTGCAACTCCAATTCAGGAATCGCGCTCGTGATTTCCATCGTAATTTGGGGTTTCACTGCGCTCAATCTTCATCTTGATCTGGCGGCGAGAGGGAGGTTTTATAATTTCAGGATCCTAATCTACGCTTTTCAGGCGATACCTAAAATCCACATACATTCCGGGCCCGGAACCGAAAATGGGAGTAGACGATGAGCTTTTGGACAGCAAGGCAAAGAGAATGAGAGATTTGCTGTCGAGTTTCTACTCTCTCGACCCGTCTTCTACTTCTGCACCTCCCTATGGTTCCTCCAGATTCGCCACATTGGATACCATTAACACTGCCTCCTTTGACGCTGATCAGTACATGAACTTGCTGGTAGGACATCATTTCTAGCTTCTGAGACTCAGAGTTGCATAAACAGTTTCCTCTCGCTCTTGTGCTTATCTTAATTAAAATCCTTGAATTTGCACACCTGTTTAGGTCCAAAAGTCCAATATGGAGGGATTGCTGCAGAGGCATGTTGAAATGGCTGCTGAGATTAAAAATTTAGATACTGACCTGCAGATGTTAGTGTATGAGAATTACAACAAGTTCATAAGTGCAACAGATACAATTAAAAGGTGAAAACTCTGTCCAAATTTGCACTTCAACTTTCATTTTTATCAGTATAATTGTGAATGTGAAGAGAACAAAATCAATTGAGTATGCAACCAATGAAATTACTACGGTTTTAGTACGGGCATTGTAAATTTGTATGCAACGATGAATTATAATCTTTTTTTGGAGCATGCTTACACTTAATTTATTGTTGTTTATCACGTACGGAGTACTTATTATTTGTTTTTTTACGTAGTATCTGTTTTTTTTGTTTTTCCTCTTTATCATGGCTCCAGGATGAATAGCAACATTGTTGGCATGGAAACAAATATGGAACAACTTCTTGAGAAGGTTCTTTGTAGATATTTCTTCAGTTAGTATATATTTTCAATCTCAACTATGTGTGGATATTTAGAATTAATTAAACTGTGTTGCATAAAAGTATCAATCTTTTACTTTAAAACTCTGCAGATAATGTCTGTGCAATCTAGAAGTGATGGGGTTAATAATTCTTTGTATGAAAAGAGAGAACATATAGAAAAGTTGCATCGAACACGCAATTTTCTTCGTAAAGTGCAGGTATTTTTTTGATTTATAAACACTTCTTGTTTTACTTTTTTCCTTTCTGAACAATGAATGTTTGATGTTTTTTTTGAAATATTAGATCAATTTCATTCTATGCGACTTAGATCCATTGTTTGCCCTTATGAGGATGATAAATGAACAACTTTTGTCTCAGCTTCCTTCGTCTGGTCTAATTTTAGCCTAAGTTATTCAACTATGGAAAAAACTTATATACTCTGCCAATTGAGGCCTACCAATTATTGAATAACATCAGTCAGGCATTTGTTTAAATTATAAATCGTCATTTAGGACAATAAGAAGTAATGTAAGGGATATGATTCCATCTTATGTCCCATGCATTGTGTAAATTATCAATTTTGGGCATGCATGGGTTACACCAGATTTCATTTTTTGTGTGTGGACAAGAGCAGTTCATATATGACCTACCCACTACACTAGCAAAGTGTATCAAAGCAGAAACCTATGCTGATGCAGTCAAATACTATATTGGAGCGATGCCAATCTTTAAGGTTAGTTTTTTATTATTTGAACACTACAGTCTTTCACATTATTGATATAACCTTCTTCTGCCTGAAATTCTTAAATTTCCATATTTGATATGTTGTTCATTATTTCTGTCACTTATCATCAGGCATATGGCGATTCATCATTCCAGGAATGTAAGCGAGCATCAGAAGAAGCGGTGGCTATCATCGTGAAAAACTTGCAGGCAATGCCCCTTTCCATTTATTATTCTTGATAACCCTGACTATTTTCCATTGTACCTTTTTTTCATTTTCTTGCCCTTGACGTTTTAATTTTTCTCCTGCTTTGTCTTCACTCTTATATCAAGTTAAAGGTCCATTATTGATGTGTGGTAGGATTAAATTTCCAAAAAAAATAGGTGCATCTTATTATGTTTTTTATGTATTGAGAGAGTTTCTTAAATTTGAAGAGTTCTATTAAAAATGTCTTTATAAATGAATTGATGAAATTAGTCACCATTTTCCCCATTCAAATAGAAACCACCTCTTTCACTATTAATTTGACTGGCTCAGTCTGTATTGCTTACATTTCAATGTGTGTTTAGAAACTAGAGCATTTAGTGCGTCACAAGCTTTTTGTCTCAATCTCGAAGAGGCTCTAGCTATGGAGCCCTTGCATAATGTTTGCAAATTTTAACTAGATGCTTCATAAATTATCGGATTCCATGATTTCTTAGAGAATGCAACAGCATCAACAAACCCTGCAAAATCCCAGTGTGTGGAGGGTGAGTGTATGCAGACCTTACCCCTACGATTTCTTAGAGAATGGATGTGCTATTTTCATTCTCTTCCTTTTTCATAAACCCTTTCTTCCATCTTCAGGCAGAGGATGTTAGTTTTTTTAAGAGAAACGTTCCCATAACTAACAAGGTTATTCTTAAAATGTGAATTACTTTCAGGGCAAGGTATTCTCAGATTCTGAGTCCATACAAGCAAGGGCTCAGGCTGTGATGCTCCTTAAGCAGTTAAATTACCCGGTTTGTATTTCTCTCTTGCAAATATTATTAATCTTTAAGCATTCTGCATTCATACTTTATCTTTGTCATCAATCCATGGTCTCTCTTTTTATCTGTTAGGAAAAACATTATTTGCAGTGGTATATCGTCCCAGTAGAAATGTTACTCGGTATTTGTAGTGCATACACAGGTGTTTGGAATACATCAACCATGATTTTCCTATCTGGCTATCTCTGCCATTTTTAAGGAATTTTATTCAAGGCTTCTAGCAGGGAATACCTTGTCTAGTAATACATCAATCACTAAAAAAAGTTCAAGTGCTTATAGCGAAACAACAAAATTAAGCATTCTGTTAATCTGTTACTCCCTCCGTCATCATAGGTTCTTCCATAGTTCCATGTTTGACTTGGCATGGGTTTTAATGTAAGATGATAAAGTAAAGTGTTTTTCAACTTTGCCCTTCTCAATTTATTTTAAAACGAAAAAGAAAAGAGACTAAAGGGATGGGATGGGGGCAGCATCCGTGTATCACAATAAAAGAGAAAAAACAATTTTTAATCATAACACGTCTGATCCTCCAATCAAAACCATCCAGACATTACAAAAGATCTTCAAACATTAATTAGGAGCAAACTTAGACTCCACCTCCTGAACTTCTCCCTCAAATACCCATCAAACCCTTCAAATGAATCTGGAACTATGACCACATCACCGTAGATGATAGGAGCCAAACCTTCGTTTGGATTCGGAGTCTGCTTCATCCCTTGATCTACTTTAAGCAGAGCCCTAGCCGCATGCATGACATCTTCCCCACCAATTTCGTAGTCAGATTGGTTGGGAGTCTCTGGAATTTTTGAGAGATAGCGGAGATCTTCCATATCCATGAGTGTGGATTTGATAGAAAAAAGAGGAAGGATCCAAAGAGGGATGCGCAGAACGATGCACTAAGAGATGCACAGTGAAAGCGACTCCCAGATGAGATCAATTGGAGAAATGGAATGGAGTGATCTAGGGTTTTCAGAGAGGGGATGAGGGAGAAGATGAAAAGGCATGGGGGTGGGTGGTGGGGGTTGGGTAGTTAGGTAGTAAAGAGGAAATATTAATAAGAGTAAAATAGGTATTTGGGGCATTAAGTAATGCCAATTTAGGCAAGCGGGAAGAATAAAAAAGGGTGACCCAAAAAGGAAAGTGAGAAGAACCTAGGAAGGCAGAGGGGGACTATATAACTTCACATTTTCCTTTTATGTCCGTCCCAAAACAAAGTTCGCACTTCTCTAGTTCTGTTTTAAAGGAATACGTGGGTCACAACATTTCTCTCTTTTCCGTACAATTTCCAACAGTACACCAATCACTTTTCAACACTTTATCTTAAACTCCGTGAAGTTAATTGCAGGACAGAGGGACTTTTTTGTACTTGAGATATATCTTACATTTTTTTAATGCTCTCTACAAGTTTACATGCAGCTCATCCGTCTCCTCTTGATATGCATGATGAGAAAAGATATACACTCTTTGAAGCTTCTCTATCTAACATCATTGTTTTAGTTACTTAATGTCAGGTTGAGAATTTGAAGGTGCAACTTTATGAAAAGTTGGAACAATTCCTTGTGGACCTCCATCTTGAATCGAAGGAACTAACACATGGTTCTTTGAATCATGATTTGCCCCCTGATAATGAAAATCCTTCTGATTCAACATCTTTTCATGAGGTCAGTTAAAGAGGTAGCATTTATATGTGTTCGGAAGTTTGTTGCACACTTTCTCCTTTCCTCCTACTCGTTACTATTTGAAAGGGCACACACCGTAGCACAAGTTCAATAACCATCTAATTAGATATATTTGGTGTGATACTAATTGTAATTTTTTTGCTAAGTGTACGCTATTTTTCTGCTATTCTGAAGTGCTGCATGTGATAAACCTTAGGCTTCTATACGTGAATTCGCTGAGGCTATCCGTGCTTATCAAGTTATCTTCCCCGATTCCGAGCAGCAACTTGTTAGACTTGCGGAAGACTTAGTTAAGAAGTATGTCTCAGTTTTAGTTACTTCTCCCAAATTATTTATTTTCTCAATTGCATCTCCTTCTTCCTTTCTCTTTTTTGATTTTTTTTTTTTGCATATTTTTCCCGAAAAGGGTCTGATGGTGTATAACTTTCTTGTTTAAATTTGAAACAATGGAGGCACTTTGAGGCCATTGAGCAGCATGTCAAGAAAAAGCTGCAGTCCACAGATCTATTATCATTGCTGCGTAAGTTCCTTCACTTCCTTGATACAAATGTCTAATAAAATTGGGACTATTCATTTTTTTCAACTTGTAACATCAATGATGCAGATGCTAGCAGACCAATATTTCTCTTTTCTTCATAGATTTTGCATTATTCGCTCCATTATGAATGACATTTAGCGATGCACTGACCTTCTGGCCCACACTCCCTAATGTAGCTTGCTCCACTCGTCTCATAAAAAGTTTAATTATTTTTGCTCTACTTAACTTTCCACGCTCATCATGGGTCATTTCGAAACAGCCACTCTATGCTTTAAACATAGGGTCAGGCTGCGTTCATGCGACCCCCCCACCTTGCAATGGGCAGGGGAGCCTTTAAGGCACTGGGTAATGTTGTTGTTCTTGTTTTTGCGTAGAGGGTGACCTGTTTCTTTTCTTGTGCATGCCGTACATTCTTTCATAGGATGAACAGTTTTCGAGAACAAATGTAATGCATTCCGTGTTCAAGTGTTTGCTTTCCTTTGACATGCAATTTACAACCATTCCATAGGGGTTATTTGGACTGATGTGCTCATCATGGATAAAGTCCTAGCTGAAGCTGGTCTGATCAATTTCTCATTGGAGGTATCTCTCACTCTCTGCATCAAACATTATTGATGCATATATGAAATACTTGTGCTGATGTTCTGGTGGTTGTGGAGTATGCTGATTGGTGCAAGTTGCTTCCAGGCTGCTCGTGTTTCAATAAAGCAGTATGTCGTTAGCAGATTCAGTCATCTTCTTCTAGATATAGCAGGTTAGCTATTGGTTATGAGTAGCAAAAAAATGATCTGTTTGGAAGTCTGTCCTCTGAAACTTAAGAAGAATTCCTTATAATGAAACCAGAGACTAAGAGTGATGTATATAATGTTTGGGTAGTTGATTTTTTGTTTTGCACTCTCGTCTTTGACGCTATAATGCATTTTGAATATTTATAATGGTATCTGAGATCTGAATGATGATTTCCTTCCATTTTAACTAGCAGGCGCCCTTGAGAAGCTCCAAGGTAAACAGAAAGGAGTACATGAAGGTTATACATTGCAGGTGGCACTTGATTCTAGTAAAAAAGCCTTATCTGAAGGTAGTTCAGATGTCTTACAGGTGAAAATCTAGTGCTAGTGCATATACCTACGTTGGATAAGCAGCTTAGCTGCTTAAGTAATCACTTTAATAAGATAAGTGCTTCTCAATAAGCTGAAAACAGCTTATATTGTTGAAAAGCTTACCCTGGAGAGATAGTTAAATAAGATGATTATACGACTTCAGTTAAAACGAAATCAAACCCAACAGACTGTGTTTTATGTGAATCCTTACATATTATTAAGTAAGATTTAGTGCCTAGAGAAGTAGATAAGTTGATACTACATTCATTAAAATTTTGGTATTGCTTTGCTGTCAATCTTTTTAATATTCTTAAATTCTTTTATAAATCATTATCTGCCCGTATTGCTTTTTTACAGATCACTTTGACTTAGAAAAAACATTGATGCTAACTGCAAACGGTAGAGTTTGGGAATGATTTATGAGTATCATTTTTAATGTGTTTTAGTGCAAATGGTACAACTTTTCTTGATTTCATCAATGAATTGCATTTCTATTGCTCATACTCCCTCCATCTTAAATTCAACTTCCCATTATCTTTTTCACGGAGTTTATAAAGAGTAAATTTGTGTGGTTGAGATTTATGCAGAAAAGGGAGAAGTAATGTTAGCTATACAATGCTTTCCTTAACAGGAATGAAAAGTTTATTTTGGGACTAATACAAAAATAAAGTGGAAAGTTTATTCAAGGACGGAGAGAGTATAATACTTGTATAAACTGTATCTGTGTTGTATCATATTTCTTAATTAATTGTGTTCTGGATTTCAGGATTTCCAACTGCTTCTTGATGAGGACATGGAAATGCTATTGAAATTGAGAGAAATGATTGTTGACTGGGTACAAGAAGGCTTTCAAGACTTCTTCAGGAAACTTGAGGATCAATTCCTCTTTCTTTCTGGAAAGAAGTATTTTCCTCGACGTGATCAGAACTCTGGAGTGCAAATGCAGGGTGATAAAATCCTTCCTGGACTTGTTCTTGTGCTCTCCCAACTATCTGTTTTCATTGACCGAACTGTCATCCCTAGAATTACAGAGGCAAGGAACTTTCTTGAAGTATTTAGACTATTTACAGTATGGTTTCTGAAATTGGGAAATTTTACACACACACACACACACACATATATACGGAGTATAAATATACATATATATATAGGGGTGTTCATCGGTCTAAAACCGGACCGGACCGGACCGAAGACCGATTTACACTAAAACTCAGACCGAAGACCGGACCTAAATATAATCGGTTTTGGACCGGACCGGACCGAAATATTACAGACCGAACCTATCCAGACCGAAAGGACCGACAGAACCCAAGCTTCCAGAATGCTCCGTAGAGTTTAGATTTCAATTTCAGTGAAATAATGATGTAATATCATGAGTTTCACAATCCAGAGTCCAATTTTTATTTGCATACAAATTTTTACAATTTAAAATTTTGAGATATGAATAAAAAAATTTTTAGGGATGGATAAGTTTTAAATAAAAGTGAAATTAATTTGGAAAGATATCAAAAAGGATTACCGATTGACTATAATACACCCAATAGTTTTCCGCTGCTCTGTTATTTTTCGGCATCAATGAGACGTAGATCGACTGCTCGTTGGCGTCTGAAGCCTGCGCCATGGTGGGAAACTGATGTGGTTGTGCAGTGACTGAATCCGGAGATTGTGGGAAGAAGATGAAGGATTGACGGAGAGGGGATGGAAGAGGCTGCTAATCTTGGAAAAGGAAAAAATAAATATGGAGAGAGAGATGAAATTAGATCTACAAACTCAAGAGGAAAATGGAGTAAACGAAAGGGAGTAAATCTGGCTTGTAGTGGAAATGTCTACTAAAAAACAAAAGCACAAAGTAAATGGATAATTTCGGTCTTCTCGGTCCGGACCGAATGGCAATCGGGTTTAGACCGGACCGGACCGAAACCCAAAATTTTTAAAAAACTGGACCGAAGACTGACCCGAAATTTATTCGGTCCGGGTTCGGTCTAGACCTATCGGTCCGGTTTGGTCGGTTTTTTCGGTCTGGACCTAAACATGAACAGCCCTACATATATAGACGGACACACTCATTTCTTCACGCTGGATTCTTTACACTTACTATTCATTGGCCAAACTAAATATTGCTTCTCTGTATATTTTCATCTATGGATAAAAATATAGCCATGTCACACATTGTGAGTGAGTGAGTGAGTGAGTGTGTGTGTATAATCTTTCCTAATGCCTACAAAACTTTGTGGATATTTGTTTTAATTCAGGAAATAGCTACTTCTTTTTCGGGTGGATCTCGCGGTTATGAATATGGCCCAGCTTTTGTCCCTGCAGAAATTTGCCGCACCTTCCGATCAGCAAGTGAAACATTCTTGAACATGGTACGATGCGTAGCCTCTTTTTCATTAAGGCGTGTAATGAGTTTGGCATACATACATGATACATGTCATGCACGTATGTGTATTATTTTCTTCATTTAATGGCATTCATAGATGTGTTGGAATTTACATTTTGTTGTATCACAGAATCTGCCCAACTTTAAATTTTTTTGGTTATAGATAGTAAACTGAGATTCAGTTCACAAGATTATTCTAAGAGGAATCCCAATCTATTTAATCTTTAAAGTGTAGTGTCTAGAGAATAACATCTGCCACTGCCATCCCCACCCACCCACCCTAAAAAAGCAAATACTCTGTAGGTCCAAAACTCTGGACTTAAATGTGAAATGGGCATGAACCAGATACACAGGTAGTTAAAGCAACCCATAAGGTGCCACAACCAAAGCATTTTTGTTGTTTTGATCTCAGTGGCATCTATATTCTGTAATTCTGATTCAGGCCTCTTTTCTTTCAGTATATAAATATGAGAACTAAAAAATTATCAGTTGTATTGAAAAAGAGGTTTGCGACTCCCAATTGGATCAAGGTAAATTTTTTAAATAAAAGATATCTATTATCTAAAATCTAAATCCTCTCTTAGCCTTTGTTAATATTGTGCTTCCTTATACATCTAGCACAAGGAGCCAAGGGAAGTCCATATGTTTGTTGATCTACTCCTTCAAGAGGTAAGCAGACTGCTTACATCTCTGTTTTCCCGTCTCTTTTTCACTTCAATTATTTTCTAGGTCCCATTCTCTTAACTTGAATCGTATACAGGCTCATAGATGATTGCGAGAAATAGCCTCCTCTTAAAAGATTGTTTTTTAATGGAAAGAAACAGATGGAGAAAATTAACCATTTTTACTAAAGAAAATTTCGCTGGTAGTTGGATGCAGTAGGAAATGAAGTAAATCAGATATTACCTGAAGGGCTTCACAGAAAACATAAACGTACGGATAGCAATGGAAGCACTGCATCTTCACGCAGTAATAATCCACTAAGAGATGATAGGTTGAGCCGGTCAAACACCCAGAGAGCCAGGAGTCAGCTTTTGGAGACTCATCTGGCAAAGTTGTTTAAGCAAAAAATGGAGATCTTTACTAAAGTTGAACACACACAGGTTCGTTCTTCGTTATGATTGTTTTAGAATGTTTCATTTTTAACTCCAACCTAAATATCCCCAGCTTGGAGACACCCAGTTCTCGTTTTGTGAGAAATATGATATGGATGTATCCAGAAAATGCTATGAAAATTAAAAATTATAAACAATCATAATGCCTAAATGTTTGTCTTTACCTCCAACAAGTGGAATAGAAAATGAAATCTGATCAATTGTTTATGAAAATTTACATAATTTTGTACATCCTCCGTCCCAAAATAAACTTTACATTTTCTTTTCTCATCCGTCCCAAATTAAATATTGCGCTCACTCCAAAAGCTGAGATGAGTCTCCAAAAGCTGACAAATACGGACCCTACTCTTAATGTTGCAGGAATCAGTAAAGACTACAATAATCAAACTCTGCTTGAAAAGTTTACAAGAACTTGCCCGGCTTCAGACATACAACCGCAGTGGGTTTCAGCAAATTCAGCTGGACTTGCATTTTCTGAAGACTTCTCTAAAGAATGCCGCTGAAGATGAAGCTGCTGTGGACTTTTTACTCGACGAGGTGATCGGATATCTAACAATTTTTTTATATATTCAGATTATACTAATGAATGAATTGAAAAACAGTCCAATGATTCATTTATGACTCATGAATGAAACCCATTCAATCCATGGTTGGCAGGTCATCGTTGCTGCTGCCGAGCGATGTCTAGATCCCATTCCTCTTGAGCCTGCCATATTGGACAAACTCGTCCAAACTAAGTTGTCGAAGACTACTACTACTACTACTACCCAAGAGCCATAGGGTAACTGCTGTATTGCTCCCCATGTTCTTTTTTTTTCTGCTTTAAGATTAGACCCTTGAGTTGGCCAATATGTTCCCTTGTTTATCCTCTTAACCTTTTAGTTGCCGATTTTAAAAACACACAAGCAACTGCATTCTTCACTCACTGTCTTAATACACCATGTGTGATTTCAATTTAGACCTGAATCCGGAATTGAATATTCGAAACGAGTAACCCAAAACCAAACTTGAAATATCCTAAAACCGAAATCTGCAATGACACAAACCCAATGGGAATTGATATCGAAATCGGATAGTTCCAGAACAAATAATAACCGAATTCGAGTGGTACTTGAACGGAGTCATAAAATGAGAAGTGCGTTGTTAGAGTTTAGAATGTGTATCTATCCAAATTGCCATCTACTCAAATCGATGTATACTTGAATCGTTATGTACCAAAATTGATATCTACCCGAATCATATTTGAATCGGAAAACATAGAAAACCAAATTTATTCCAGATTGTAATAGAGTTGAACCAAATTGGTTATCATATATACTTGTAATATAGGCGGTGTTTCTTTGGGCTGGTGCTTGTTGACTTGTTACTGGTAAACAAGTTTTAATTTATAAGTTGCTTATAAGTCAAATATTTTTTTTTATTGAAGGAAAATAACTTAAATGATAGATAAGTCACTTAAAAATATTCATAAATGGTAAGAGACAGTATTGTAAATAATCTGATCAAAACGGAGAAACGAGAAAATTGACTTAAAAATAAGTAGCTAATACCTATTTATTTTTTCTAGCTTATAAGCAACTTATAAGTCAGCTTATAAATATACAGAAATATGTTATTAGCTGACTTCTTAATTAAAAAATGCTTATAAGTAGTTTTGACTAACTTATAAATAAATGTATATACTTGAATCATTATCTATTAATCATTATTCAAGTAAATGTCTACTATCAGTAGACATTATTCCTCCCACTAGACATTAATAAGTACTCCGTACTATTTAGAGAATAAAAAAGTTTAAGTCCTACATTGGTAAATGACTTATATTTTAATGTTATTTAGTACAAATTTCACTTGTATAAACCCATCAAGAATTGATGAACCTTCTTGTTCTGCTTCTGTATCTCAATAAGTTTCAAGGTACCAAACTTGCACCCCTTGCACTTGGCGCATGTGGGCAATTTCTCAATCGTCCCTAACTTGTCCCATATATTTTTCATTTTTTCAAAATATGAGACAACTGTTTGTCCGTTTTGTTTACAGTTCTCCAATTCTTTCTTTAGTTGATTCACTCAAGGTCTATTTGCCACAGGGAATCTTTCTTTGATGTCGTTCCATAGCTCTGCCGCCTCCTCCACCTGTGTAATTGAATTGCGCAGAGAACCCTCTATGGTGTTAAAAATTCATGAAACCAACATGGCATTGACGATCCACCATTCCTCGGCTTCATCTTTGTCATCTTTCGATTGAGGAATGGATCCATCTATGAGTCCAAACTTCTGTTTGGCACGAAGAGCAATTCGTACATCTTGTGCCTACTCTTCATAGTTATCACCGTTCAATTTGATCTTAGTGATAACTAAAGCTGGGGTATCAGCTGATTTTAATTCATACAAAGTGATCTTTGTAAACTGCCAGTCATTGTCTTCTCCTTCGTTAAGAGTTTTGGAGAAGGGATTTTTGCTCTTCTCGTCGGTCATCTTTGATGGTGCAATTCGGTCGGTCGTGCATCGCTAGAGGTTTCACGATTCGTTTTGTGAAGTCTCAGAAACTTGCTCCGATACCATGTAAAAAAATAATATGGGAAAATTTTTTTGTATATGTAGCTGTTGTGTCTAATACAAAGACCTTCTCTATTTATAGGAGAAGAAAAGAATATCTATCCTAATAGGAAATAAATCAAAGTAGTGTATCACCTGTGCGATGCACGAGAACATAATACATACATAATTCGAGATGAATATGGAAAATATAAATTGTCATCGATGAGAGAAGTCAAATTATAGTTGATGATAATAAGAGCCAAACTGTCATTGTTGAGATTGGAAAAAAAGAGAAAGGCTTACGTTAAAGATTGATATCGACATTAAGGAAGACGGTTGCAAGACAAAAAAAATTTTAAATTTAATAAGTGCATTTCATTTATTCATTATGGGGCTATATTCTATCTAGAATTCTAGATTTTAAAAGATCATATTATATTATTTTTCATTTATACATTATGTAAAACCACATATTATTTTAATTATATGTTGATTTGGATAGATTTTATTATATTTTATTGGTAGGATTTTAAAAGATTGTGTTTAGATTGCTCAAAATCCAAATAATAATAACGTGAAACAAAAAAAATTACCTTGAAAAAAATTTAGCAAAAAGAAAGATAAAAACCAAAAATTAAACGCAAAGAAAAAATTGATCAAAATAATTATGGAGGATAAAATTGACCATGAAATTTTTTTAACAAAGCAAAATCAAAAATAAAAAAATTGAAAAAAAAGCACAAACTGAAAAAAATATACAAACTGCAGAAAAAAAATTGAACAAAGCCAAAAACAATTACTACATTGAAAGCAAAATCGAACAAAAACCAAAGCAAAAACTGTATAAAAAATATATAAACAAAATACGTAAGTACTCCGTACAAAACATCCCCTCTCATCTCAATTGAGTAGTATTGATTTTTGGAGGTCCAATTCCAAAACATCCCCTCTCATATCAATTGCATCTCCCATCCGTTCCTCCTCCATTTCAATAAATCCAATCACTTCTCCGGTCCTCGCCGCCGCCGCCGCCGCCGTCTTCGTTTTCCTGGGCTTTAACTCCTCGCATCGTTGAACATCCAGGTGCATGTTTTATGGTGCATCTTCTTTACTTTCTAATTGTGTTCTTGCTTTGGTTCTAAAATATGACGCTTATTAGATCCTTCAATTCGATATTCTTGATAACTCATTGTATAACTATATGTGATGGTAGATCAAAGGATTTGTTTACAATTCAAGGCCGTATTTTTATCTTCAGTATTAGCATATTAATTTTCACTTTTTTGATCTACTATTTCATTTTTCCATTTAATTGTTTAATTTTTAAACCCAACGAGTAGCAGATTTTTTAAAAAAAAATTCCCTTCTTATTCTATGCCTTACATCTCTGGATTGATATATTCACTTTTATCAACCCATTAAACCCACAGAGAATAATTATTCTAGTATAAAAGTCCCATATAAAATTAGCAAAAACAATTACTAAATCGATAATATACCTATTTTTATGCCTTATATGATTTTTTTTTTAAATTTTTCCTACATAAAATATATACTCTTTAAGATTCAAAAATCCTACGAGTAATTTTTTCTTCTACTTTTTGAGGCCAGGGTTGCCATTTAAATATAATAGTTTCAACTGATTCATTTTTCATTATTTTTATTGTCACTCAAACAGGCTGCCAAGATTATTACAATCCAAAAATCCACATCATTACTCAAAAAGTAAGTCCCACTTTACTCATTGTTTTATGGCATTTTTTTTAAATAAACGCTTAAAATTGACATCTTTTTTGTTAAAATTAATTCACCTCCTAAAGTGGATACAATTCCGTAGTAAACATTTACTACTATCTCTCAAAATGGTTCGTATATGTTACTCCATCCGTAGTTTCTCAAGCTTCTTTATCCTCAGTGTTATACTCTGATGGTATTATTGTTGGATTTTTAGTTTTATCCTAAACGACATGTTGTAGCTGTAGTGTTGGTACTATGTTAAAAAAATTAAAACAATGGTGATTGACAATATTTAGTGTGTTACACACTACAAAACAATAATAGTACACACTATTGTTTTCCCAGTCTGGTCCCAAGCCTATCCTTATCTTATTAGCGTTAACGTTTTGGATAAAAATTTTAACTGTACAGATTACTTTGAAAACGCTAACGCTAAACGCTGCATGTATAGCCTTTTCAAAGCGTTAACGCTAATCGCTAAAAATATTCCCAAACGTGTCACCAGTCCCGTCTCCTATCCATGAAATGTCTTTTTTTATTCCGGACCGGACCGGTCAGATTTAGGTTTGGAGTTACAAAAAAATCTGTTAAAACAAGGGTTAAGAACACGGCGTGCCGCCAGTGCCGGGCATGGCTTTCCCTTTCAAGCTCTTCTCATTCGTTCTTCAGATGGCTCAAGACCTTATTAGGCCTGTCCCAAATCTGCACCAAGGCACAGATCTGTTAGCATTTCTGACATAGCCCGAGCCCCAGAACCTTCATTCTCCAATCCTCTTTCTGCGCGCCAGCAAATTCAGGTAGGAGATCGCAGCTCCTCGGCCCTTTTTTCCCCATATAATATATTGCTTTTCTGTGTCGAATCTTACAGTTCCAGTTGTTGAAATTATAAGCAGGTCGCTCACTGCTCTTCATTGAGGTTGTTTCAAAGGACAGCTTAATTCACTTAACGGGGTAGAGCTAGACTCTAGAGTGTGTTTGGATAACATAGTTTAATTACTAGGTTGTGTAATTACTAGGTAGTACTATTACATCATTGTGTAATTACATGAAGTTTCCAGTAATTGTAGGGTAATCACTTTGTGCTTGTTTGGTGAGGGGTAGTTTTACACAAATTTTGTTTTTAGTCTGCGATTGCAGTGTGCAATTAGATCAATTCCATACCCCTTGGAATTGAAAATTGCAATTGGACCCCTTCAGTTACATTGATTATATGGCAAAACAAACATGACAAACAGTGTAACTACACACAACTACACCAAATGTCAATTGCACATGGATTATCCAAACACGCTCTTAGATATTGACTTTGTGTCTTGACAGCCATTCGCGTGCTTTGTGGTGGATTCATATTTCCTTATTTGTTTGCTCACAGTTATTAGTTGCATGTGTTTGTTATTCTTCAACTGTTGTTTGCTTAGGCAGGTGGCTATCAAAATGACACATTAAAATTCCTTTGCTTCTTACTTTATATGCAATTTTGGGTACTAGATGCAGCAATGCGTCATAAGTCTAATAAAACTAACCTCTATGTTTTGCAGGGGTGCCAATCCGTAGATCTTGATCCTCAGACCCTAACAACATGTTTGGTTCAAGGATTTTGAAAGGGAAAAGAAAAGAAAATAAGAGGGAAAATAGTTTTTCTCATTTGGTTAGAGAGGAAAAGAAAAGAAAAGTGGAAGGAAAAGTAAATATGAGAAGAAATGAATTAAAGAGAAGGAAAACAGATTTCCTTCCCGCTAGGTGAGAAATAGGAGAGAAAATCACTTTCTTTTATTTTCCTTTCGACTTCCACGAGCCAAACATAGTGTAAGAAAACCGGGGTTATCTTTGGTTTGTTGTTGCTGTTTTTTTACCCTCAAGCTCTCGCTGAGTGTTTAATTGTTTATCAGTGTGTTTGTTTGTATTTTTTGTTTGTTTATTTAATTGGATTTGGTTTCTCAGGTAACCAGGGCGTTGTTGTTGCTGTCTTTGTTCAATTTGTTTCTCTGGGTGAGAATGTGGAACTTTGCATCCAACTTTACTGTTGGGAACACAAGGCCAAAGGAAGATCATCGGAATCCTACTCGCGATGCAGATTGCTCTGATGATGAAGGTTCATCCATCACAAGTAGAGAGGATAGACTAGAGTGCCCAATTTGTTGGGAATCGTTCAACATCGTTGAAAACATACCCTATGTTTTATGGTGTGGCCACACACTGTGTAAAAACTGCATCCTGGGGTTACAATGGGCTGTTGTGAAGTGCCCTTCTTTACCCATCCAGCTCCCACTCTTCATATCATGTCCCTGGTGCAATTTACTGTCATTGCGTCTGGTTTACAGGGGCAACCTCAAGTTCCCCAGAAAGAACTTTTTCCTTCTTTGGATGCTTGAGAGCATGAATGGTGACAGGAGAGTGTCCTGTTCTGCCTCATGTGGGGATGATGACCCACCATCTTGGCCCCCTGTTAGGACACCATCTGGAAATTCTTCTATCGAGCCCAGTTTCAGGAGGGCCTCACACACTGACCTTTCAGAACAAGTACGATCACGGCGTGATCAAAGTCATCCGGATGGCTTTCTTGCTGTTGAGAGACTACATTCTTCAATCAGGAAATCACTGGTCTTCTTCATTCATCTGACAGCCAAGTTCCCACTGGTGATTATATTCCTTCTGATCCTCCTGTACGCCATTCCCGCCAGTGCAGCAATACTGGCCCTCTATTTGCTCATCACCGTTGTGTTTGCTCTTCCATCGCTTCTCATTTTGTACTTTGCGTATCCGAGCTTAGATTGGCTGGTCAGAGAAATCATGACCTGAGATGACAGATTGATGGATTCAAGCTTCTTGGGATTGTTTGCTGCTATATATTCAAGTGTTTTTATGCCAAAACTTCTACTAAATCAAGTTGCTTCCCCTGGTAAATTTTATTTCTTTTTTTTTTTGTATTTAATATATTTGGAGATGGGAGCTGAAGTTCCATTTAATACTAATGGATAATGATGTTTTTATGCAGTTTTTTTGTTTCCTTCCAAACATTGAGCTTGTATTGCAAAATGATGCAGTGCTTGAACCATGGGGAACTCATTGCCCACATTTGAGTTTTTTGTTTAATTTATTTAAAGAATGCTTCATGCATTTCGAAATTTATTATTCTCCTCGAGGTGGGTATATATCCACATCATCATAAGAAAAATTGTATTTCTAATATTTTTTAATAACGTGATTTTAAGTTTGGATTTTATGTCCTGTATATATAAGTGCTTAAGGCGATTTGGTCTAACAAAGAGTTCTCATTCACGATTGGGTACGTAATTTTCTTTCTTTCTTTAATTAATTTTGATACGTTATGGATAAAAGGAATTAAATACTACGGTTATTTTCTTTTGTTATAGAATGAATTTTTCAGTTTTTTATTGGAGAGTAAATTTTTTGAAACGAAGAAAGAGGAGAAAACGACAACGAAAAAATTTAAAATGAAAGTAAAAATTGGAGGGGGAGAACAAGGAAAATTTTTGGCTTATTCACCACAATTCGCAAGGCATGTTTTAAATCATTCTATTGCATAGTTAACTGAAAAAAAAATATACTCCGTAATTCATGTAAAACCTATAATTTCTAATGCAAATTTAAAATTGGAAAAACACAATAGTAAGAAAGTTAAATAAATTTGCCTCAGTTTTTAGCAATAACATCATCAGACACTAACATGTACTAAGCGGATCGGGGAAGACACAATAGTAAGAAAGTAAAATAAATTTGGTTTAGTTTTTTAGTAATAGCATCATCATACACTAACATGTACTCAGCGGATCGGGCGATCTAAATCACACATTGCTAAATTAAGTGTCTTAGAAAAATTGTAAGATAAAGCAAAATTTTGTTCCACCCATGCATGGCACAAGTTAACATTCTAGTTCTAGTAAAATAAAATAAAATACCCCGTACTTTTCAGCACTGGACCAATGGTGTTTTTTATTAATTTGATGTGAAACAAAATTATTAATCCAATTTTCCAAGGTTATTTAAAAAGAAGAAAATTTTAAGTTAAAAAGAAAAGAAGATTTTTTTTTTTGTTTGACAAAAAGAATGGTGTAGATCTTAGGCTTACCATGAAATCAAAGGAAGAAAAAGTTCAAAGTATTAAAAAAAATTGGCTTAGTATGTTAAGTCATCATCGCCATGTGAAACAAAATTATTAATCCAATTTTCCAAGGTAATTTAAAAAGAAGAAAATTTTAAGTTAAAAAGAAAAGAAGAATTAAGTATTTAGAAAAATGGCTTAGTATGTTAAGTCATCATCGCCTAATGCACCAGCCGGGAATCGAACCCGGGTCTGTACCGTGGCAGGGTACTATTCTACCACTAGACCACTGGTGCTTCTGTACACCGCATTTGATACGTTAATTCTGGATTAAGGTTTCGTAATATTCAGATTTTAGTCACTGGCTCACTGCGTTCATTGCTTGCTAAGGACCTCCGTATTGGAAATAACCTTGTAAAACTAAAACATAATGTGTCTATCTGTTTTTTTTAAAAAATAAATACTGTCCGTCAATGAAAATTTTTATCTTTTGACTTTTTTTAGTTAAATTGTAAGACTTGTGACTATTAATTGTGAGTAAGTATATTGAATTATAATCTAAATTCAATATAATTGGATTAAATTAGGATATAGTTTTGATATATCAAATTTTTATAATATTTATTTATTCAGATTATGTTTAATATGTGGTCAAAGACTGTCGTTATTTGATCAAAAGAAGACTTTTCGAAATCGAAGTGAGTATAACACTATATTTTTTTACATTCATCATAAGGCTCCGTTTTATACACAGAACTTAAACTATGAAATTTGAGTTGGTGATAAAAATTTCAATTCTGTTATTTGGTGGTGTTAGAATATGTATTAGGGTTTGATAGTTTTCCTATTTGATACAATTCTTCTTTTAGTAGAAATAAAATTATTAGAAGTTTACTTATTTGCTTTACCCTCTTCTTATATAAAGAGAGTTGATTCTTTGTATTCAACAAGATAATTCAACGTAGAATTATTCTCCATTATTATTTTCTTCCCGTGGCACAAAAAATATGCGGAGCCACTTTGGATCAACCAGAACAAAACTAAACTAATATATTAAAATATAACTGAGAAAGGGAGCTAGAAATTGGGTCCGGGCCTTAAAAGACCCGGAAGAAGGCTTGTTTTGAATGGAGGGCGAATGTCTCTTTTTATAGGAGAAATTTTCTGTTCAGGCCTCCGACAGGCGTGGGCCTGAGGTCCAGGCGCACGCTTGAGGTTAGGTCTGCATAAATGAAACGCCACTCGAGCGTCGAAATCAATGAATTTTAAACGCCACTCGAACGTCATCACATATGAACATGAATTGATACAGAAATCCATTGATCTTGATTGGGAACCAGAGTACAAACTCAATCAAGAATAAATGAAAAATTTGATTTATGACGTGAACTTTTGAGATGATTTATTAAAACGTCTCAACTTTATTTTAGTTCTATTTAGCAGTTTTCTCCAAAAATATCGCCCTAGTTTGATTCTTTTTGCCTCTTTGAACTCAAATTAGATATAATGGTAAATAAACAAAAGTTGCAATAATTTGACGTATAAAAAATACATCTTAAAATATACCTACTTATATTAAATTTAAATAAAAATTAATATTCTTCTATTGTGATCGAAGTTATCAAAAAAAATTCAATGATAATTGTGATCAAAATTATCTAAAAAAACAAAAAAAAAAAAGTTAATTTTCGGTCCCCAACATAAAGCAAAATCAATATTTAAAATATTGGCCAAAGCATCATATTTGCTTAAAAATAAAAATAAAATGGAAAGGTAGAAGTTCTACCATGACGTGTCAATATTTTGTGGCCCAAAAACTTTTAAAATCTCCAAACGGTAGAGCCATTTCCGTTCAAGTTTTGACATCTCTGACATACACACCGACTGGGAATGCTTTTTCAAAAGTAGCACTGATCAGGAATTAATTCTAATAGTATGTACCATGTTGGGAAAATTAATGATAACTTGGATGAATCGAGAGTTGTGTAAACACTTTCAGATTGAATATTTTGGTTGTTTACTACAAAATTCAATCGGATAAAACTCGAAAGTATCAAGAACGAAATATGAGAATTGCTGTGTAAAAAACCGAACCAAATTCGACCATGCCCAGGGGGATTTTATAGACTAGGGGTGAGAAGGAGAAGACACCATTCGCGGCTATTACCCAAAGCACGCAACTCTTCGCGCGGAAGTTTCTTCTTCAAAATTCGGTCCTATCCATCGAATTTTCTTTTAAAGAAAATTCGAAATTAAAATTCTAATTGAATTTTTTAACATAGCACNAAATTCGACCATGCCCAGGGGGATTTTATAGACTAGGGGTGAGAAGGAGAAGACACCATTCGCGGCTATTACCCAAAGCACGCAACTCTTCGCGCGGAAGTTTCTTCTTCAAAATTCGGTCCTATCCATCGAATTTTCTTTTAAAGAAAATTCGAAATTAAAATTCTAATTGAATTTTTTAACATAGCACCGAGCCCAAAATAAAAAAATTTCGAGGACCCCAGCCAGGGGCTCTGCCCCTTGGACCCCGCAGGGGCTGCCGCCCCTTGAACCCTGCTCGGGGGCGCTGCCCCCTTGGAACTCCTGGTGTAACGGGTTTTATATCGTAACAAACTCAATGAAGCGTGCACTCCGCACCACCAAACTTCTTTGATGATTATTAGGATACCATTGGTCGTAGTTTTTCCAATTACACTAAAATATATAACATACCACCATTGACAAAATGATGTTCTCTTCTCTCATTGATCATTATAAAATGCATCACAAGTATTAGTATTACAACTTTGATCTTCTGTATTATATCTACTATTATATCTTATTCTTTATCATGTTTACCTTGTTATACTAACTTAGACCCGGTCGAATTTAGTTAAAAATAGTCAACCTACTAAGTACTAACGTTAATTTATAAACAAGTCACGGCGACCATAACAATACACAGTCTTTAATATCACACTTTGATCATTAATATTTATATTTATGTATGAATATATTTTGTGAAAATTTAATATTTCAAAATTACGTTTCATAAGGAAACTATTGGTACTATATTTATGCCAAAACGCAATGTATTTTTCCATAAATCAATGTCAAAGTTCACAAACTTTGACAAAAAAAATTAAATGAGAAGATAATTTTCGGACATACCGAGTATATGCTTTGAAAGAGTTGTGAAAATTTTGGAAACAAGTATAGCAACACTTAATAAATAAGCTAAGGATTCTCTTGTAGAGGGCTTAAACTTCTCTAGTTCTTACAAGCATGCATCACAAATAAGAGCATAATGTGGCACCTAGTATAAGTTTCCCATGGCACATTCTCACACAAATTTGTACTATATTTATTTAAAAGAAAATAAAAAAAAAAAACTTCTTATCTCACTAATAAGCAAATAATGTGAATTTGAATTTCATGGCTAAATAACTGCAGATGAAGAGCCATCTGGTGAAGGAAGAGGGAAGAGGAAGGTGTGGAGAGAAGGTGCCAAATCTGAAAAAACCGAAAGCCAGCCTTGTTGTGAAGGATGGACTGTATCCCAAAAGAACGAACGCTTCGGATCCTCACACACCACATATTTCTTTGTCCCAGAGTCTCTGTCAACATCCCCGCAGCTTGACCCACTTGTTGTCCCTCTGCAACATTCTTCTGATCCCTTCTCAAAACTTGATGATTTCTTCCCTGTTGGTGATCGAACGGCATAAATGTCGACAAATGTAGAATTCATGTCATGAAACTCCAAATTACACCAAGATTACATACTCCCTCCGTCCCGTGAAACATGGAAGTTTTTGCTTTTTTAGGAGGGATTTAAGAAGAGTGTATTTTGGTATTGAATTTCCAAAAATGTCCTTTGATGTGATGGATAAAAGTATGATTTGATGGATAATTTATTAGTAAAAAAGTATGATGTGATAGTTAGGGTATGAAAAAGTAAGGGGTAAAAGTGACTTTTTAATAGAAATGAGAAGTGTTTTGTGGGACGTATAAAAAAAGAAAGGAGAAAGGTTTCACGGGACGGAGGGAGTAATAAGTAAGACTCTGATGGAGGTTTGTCAAGGGTAGGAGGTAAGAACAAGTTCGAGTTCAAAGGGAGCATCATTTGTAGGACTCTGAAAGGATCAAGTGTTATAATATATGACACTCGATTCCAATGTCAAAAGAATCATTCTCTTCTCTTTACTTTTACACCATATTTTAAGTAAATTAAACAAAAAATAACTTCAATCAAGTGTTGTAACGGGTGCAGTGAGTACCTTGTAAGGCAGACATGAATGCAGAGTAGAGATCGAGAATCAGATAAGTGGATCCACCAGTATCACTATTCAGTTTCTCCACAGCGGACTTCAACAATCGATTGTGAAGCTCCGATGATGAGTTGATTGTTTCGTTGCATAGGGTAGAAGTGGTGGAATTCTTGGGAAGGCATCCAAACGGCGGCACGTTTATCACACTCACTCTCCCAACTCCTAATTCATGTAGGCGTTTGAGGTTCACCACTATTTGACTAATAACTGACTCGGCATAATCTGTAATATTCTACACGTAAACACGCATATGTAATTATTGATGGACTTTAATTAGTCCGAACTTTGAATTAAAGGAAATGATTTTATAGAAAGATCATGCTTTGATGAAAAGATTGGAAGAGGGTCATGTTACCTAGGAACCCACTATCATTGACCTCACCGATGACAACCACATGTGATTTTATACATACACAGGCTATAATTATTTGTTTTGACATACGATAATCGTAAATCATATCTGATTGTTATCTGTGGGGTCACGCGAGGTGGATTCCTAGCATTTTTGTCGGAAGAGAAGGCGTAGATATTTAAGGATCGTTCTCGTCAATTTAATCGTATTACTAACTATTACTTATTCTTATTGAAATTAGATTATATCCTATCATAAATAATCATAAATATAACTAGAATCAGATCAAATCAGATTATAATTTATTTCAATTAAATCAAAACGAATTAGATGAGATGAAGAGAACCAAGGAGTACTGAGTTACCTTTTGAGGGTCATCATTGAGATCGTAAGTGGTGTAATCGTTACCAGCCACCGACACGTGAGCAAGAGAAGAGGTTAGGTCGTGTTTGGTATACACTTTTTGTTCAACCAGTCGTTGGAATTCATCTAATTGGGTGCTCATATTGGGCCCACCTAGAATCGTGGTGAAAACCCCCGTCCCGCCGTACGCAAAATTTACCCCGTCTTTTGCTTTTTTACTGCCACCCCCACCATTCCACCTCCTTCTGCTTGTTCTATATGGCGGCGGTGATTCGACCCCCAGGTAAGTGGCTGCTCATCAAACGGTTAGTTTTCCAAGGGACTGTTTGGTTGGCATGCATAGAAGGAGAGTGAAATGAAGTGCGACAAAAAAAATTGATAGAAGAAGTAGAAGGGAATGTTTTAGTGAAATTTGCAGTGAATAGAACTGAAATATAAGTCATTTCTCAATATTGGACTTAAATTTTTTTATTCCTTAAATAGGATTTAATAATATCTAATGAGGAAAATAATTTCTAAGTGATGCTGGACATTTAGTTCAATAATGACTAATATATAATGACTAATAGTCTTACATTGTGAAATAAAAATATATGCTCTTAAATGGCTAAAATCAAACATTAATCCTTTAACTTTATCACTTGTGCACGATTGGTCCTTCAAGTTTCAAAAGTCCATAAATAGTCCTTCAACTTCAAGAGTTCTGCACCATTGATCCTTCAAATTTCAAAAGTTCATAAGTAGTCCTTCAGGTACACGTCAGCTCTCTAGATGAAGTCCTTTTAACAGTAAATATTAAAAGTTAAACGAAATATTAGTTTCATATAATACGAGTGAATTCCACTAGGTACGACTACTCCATATTATATGGAGCTAGTATTCCATTTAGCTTTTAACATTTATTGTCAAAAGGATCTCATCTAGAGGGTTGACGTGTACTTGAAGGATTATTTATGCATTTTTAAAACTTGAAACCAATCATAAAGTTGAAGGACTATTTATGGACTTTTAAAACTTGAAGGACCAATCGTGCACAATTGATAAAGTTGAAGGACCAATAGTGGAGTTTAGCTCTCTTAAATTGAGAAAGTCATTATGTTTTAGTCTTATTTAGGTAAATTACTCAATGTTTTATACAAAAAACAAGAGCAATTAATTATTGAAAATTGTTAGGGTGTCCCCGAATGATGGCTATCATGCATGCACCCACGCTTCGCAGGGATGATTATCATATGTATCGCACAGAGCATTATCATCTGTGTCGCGTACAAAGCATGAGTTCACTCATCGTAGCAATTATTTGGAGGCACCCTAGCATGACCCTTATTTCATCGCTCAAAAAATATTTCTGTTGTTTGAACCCATTTGGCAATGGTGTAATTTAACAACAACGTTTAGCATTTTAAAAACGTAAGTTTCAAAGTACATATGATTACTTAGAAACATGTTTTACTCATATTTAGACATTTTTTTCTTACGGCTGATCCAATCTTTGTGTTCATCCTCAACTTTGAGAAGATGAACACAAGGATGAATTTAGTGAAATTTGCACTAAATAGGACTAAAACATAATGACTTTCCTAATGTAGGACTTAAACTTTTTTATTCCATAGATAGGACTTAATAATGACCTAGTGGAAGGAATAATGTCCAGCAATGATGCACATTTAGTTGAATAATGACTTCGTGATAATGACCAAAGGTCCTACATTGGAAAATAAAAACATATGGTCCTATATTGGGAAAGTCATTATGTTTTAGTCCTATTTAGGTAAATTTCTCTTTGGCTTTACTGCAAAAAAAATATCTTGTTGCGACTAAAACATGCTTCTTATATTGAAATAGATTTTCAATATTTTTATCTCAAAATATGACTTATAATGTTTGTTCACATTAACATCACTTCTATTTAGACAATAAAAATATAAAAAGTCTATTTTGGTACTCCCTCCGTTTTTTAAAACACTTCCTCTTTCATTTTTTTCACTTCCAACAAAACACTTCCTCTTTCTATTAAAAAACCACTTTTACCCTTACTTTTTCATACCCTACCTATCACATCATACTTTTTCTCTAATAATCAATCCATCATATCTTACTTTTACCCATCACATCAGGGGCAAAATTGGAAATCAACTATAATTTTACACTTCCTTATTTTGGCTCCAAGTCAAAGTAGGAACCTTTTTTACAAACGGAGGGAGTATAACATATACTCCCTTCCGGCTCGCTTGTACCCAGAGTCACAAGTTAGCTTTGTAGAAATTAAAAAAAAATTAGAAATGATTGAAAAAGTAAGAAGAACTATGTTACTTAGCTTGTACACGAAGTTACATTGTACCCAGTCCAAAGGACTGACACAATAATGTGGTACGCACAGGAAAAATTTTACACTGGCATTTTTTCCATCGGTGTTTTACACTACTGGTGTACAATATAATTTGGTGTCCACCAAATGGTATGTATATAGCAAAATTAAAATAAAAAAGACTAGAAAAGTGATTAAAAGAGTAAAGATATAGTGTAAAAAGTGATTAAAGGAATACTTAAAAGTGAATAAAGAAATAGGTTATCTTTCAAAAGTGTGGCTTTTTGACGCCCAATGAAAATATTACTTCATTGGTTCGTGTATTCATTCAGTTTTAATTTTTTATTATTAAATTTAACAAAATTTGGTCACTAATTAAATAAAATGGATATTAGATATAGATATAAAAATAATTTTTATAAAATTAAATATTTTCAAAATATTATTTTATATGATTAATATACCATATAATTTTATTTAATTCTAAATCAAACATTCGAAGTAATTGACTACAAAAGTCAAAACTAAATATTTAGACACGGGTATGGAGGTAGTAATACTTCCCCAGTCCCTTAAACTCTTGTGCTTTTCTTTTTTTCTTATCCCACAAACTCATTTCATTTTCTATTTAAAAACAACTTTTGCTCTACTAAATCTAACTCTACCGATCACATTATATTTTTTTAATAGTACTAAATCCATCACATCATGTTTTAATCAATCAATACTTTTGAAAAATCAACAAAAAATATCTCTCTTAAATTTTTCAAAAAGTCAATAATGGAAAAACTTTGAAAGATGGAGGGAGTAGATTTTAAGGAGTATACTCTTTACTCCGTACTTGATTTTTTTTCTTTCTCATAAAAACGGGTGCTATCCAATATAAATTGAGGGACATGATATGAAATGAGCAAGAACCAGACCTATGAAATCGGTAAGAACACGGCCGTCGGAAAATCTGCCGGAGGGTTTGCCGGGGAAAGTGATTCCGTAGGGCGAGGTCCAACAGGCGGCGGAGCCATTGGGGGTGTTGCCGGTGTCGGCATAGGAGTCCCCGAAAACGAACATCATAGTACTAGGGGAAACCTCAGCAATCCTCTCTTCCCCACAGTAAACTTCTGCTATATGTTAGTAGTTAATTAAAACCACTGAGCTCCAAATTAAATTAATCTGCGGAAAAAGTGATCCAAGAAAAAAGGAGACTGGACTGTGGAATTGACCTGGAAAAACAGAGAGAACGCATAAGAAGAAGAAGAAGAAGGTGGGAGTGAAGCTTGGTCTCCTCTTCTCCATGCCAATGAGTGAGCTCTTCTTGGGAAAGGTTTTCGTTTCTATTATCATCCGGCCATTATTTTGGTCATTGATATAGGTGCAATGCCCGTGCAATAATGAAAAAATAGTACACCTTGCTTTTAAAAAAACAATGCCCACTTTGACTTTTCCAGTATTTGAAGTTTGGAGAACTATTTTATTCATTTTGTGACCTTGGGAGAAACACAATAATCTTGTTGGACCATAAAGTCTTTGACAAACCGCGTGATCATTATTTAAAAGGAATAATGTACGTGCGTTTTTTTTTTAAAATCTAAAAAGAACAAGTGGTAGTATTTTTTGGGGGATGGAAAGTATACTCATTGATTAATAATGAAAAGTGAAATTTCGTGGAGGGTAGTGATAATTAAACTAATCTGTAGGCACACCTTCTTCAAGGAACGTGTCGTCAACCTAGTTCCAGAACATCAAAGATTAACTTCTGGAATTCTCAATGAACACCCCCATTCATATGCTCGAACAAAAGCTCAGGGTTCAAGGATGAAGAAACCGAGCTATTTGATCTCACGCAAGTAGTGAATAGGGACGACGTGATCTACGTATAATCAACGAACTCGCTTGTTTGCATCCTCTCTCTTTTTAGTTCTATCTCTCGTACTTGACAATTGAGAAGAGACGTAGGATTTATAATCGAGCAAGGAACCTTAGTAGAGCTTGAGTAGGATAGTCTTCCATTCAGGCTGCTTAGCCCGTATAGTCGAAAGAATCATAGTGTGTCAAGGAACCCTTAAATTCTAGTGTGTCAAATACGCCCCCTCACGTGCAGGCGTAATCTTTTTCGAGCCTTGCACGTGGAACCTTAAATTTTTTAAAATTGGGTGGCGCTGAGTTTTGAACTCGTGACATCTTAGTCAACAAGACTCTGATACCATGTCAAAGAACCAACTCGACCAAAAACTCAAGCTTGTGATTGTGGTCTAGGAATGATTTTTATTTACTCTAACACGCCTTCTCATGTGTAGGCGTGACTTCTTTGATCAGCTTGCACGTGAAATCTTAATTTTTTAAAACTGGGTGGCGGTGAGTTTCAAACTCGTGATCTTTTAGCCAACAAGGCTCTGTATAGTAACTATATATGTCAAAGAACCAACTCAGATCAACCAGAAGCTCAAGCTTGTGGTTGTGGTATATGAATGATTTTTATTTACCCTAACATAGTGCATAAATACAAGTCTTCCATAACGTACTTGTGTGTGCAATGGAGAATTATGCAAAACTGAGTCTCGTAGATGCCCCAGATCATAATATGACCTGAGATTCAAGGTCAAAAGATACTTGCCGTATTGACAATTCTAAATTGCCTCTTGTGAAGATTATTGCAGGAATTCGAGCTCTGCAAATTAGAAACTTTTTCCAAACAACATAAATATATCATCGTTCACTTATTACTGTTTTTATATTTTATTATGTGTGCATGTGACAAAACATGATATATAACATTTATGATCAATTTTATAACATCCCATTAAAATATTATTTACGACTTGGTGAGTGAGTATTTAAATGAAATATTTTCATTGGGTATTATATTTGCACTTATTATTTCAAAATTAACCCAACTAAAAGTTGAGAATTTCAACCTTTAAAAAAAACAAAATCTATATCAAAATAATCTTTGGGGGATGAAAATAGACAAATCATGCCAAGTATTGAAATTGGAACATACTTCCTCCGTCCTAAAATAATTTTGCGGGAACTTTTGTTTATTTCTACATTTTCAATAGTTATTTGATAAAATAAAATATTCTTTACAACTCTTATTTCGAAGAACTTTTCATGTAGTTTTTTTATATGTAAATTTTATTTTTTATTTCTATACCAATACGTAAAAAAAATGATTTGAAAAAATTTAATATTTTACCTCGGGAATATAAATGTGGCAAATATTTAGGGACGGAGGGAGTATAAAAGCCACTATCATTAATAATCACTCCTTAAGACATTTCAACGTACAATAATGAGGCAACATGAGTTATTCAAAGACCCCCCATACCAATTACCAACCAACCACCTATACGTCACCATCACCTAGCGTCTTAGCCTCCTCCGCCGTCCGATCAGCCCCACCCGAATTCCCGCCGCCGCCGCCGTCAGATCCGGTCAAGCTTCTCCGCCTTGACAACCGGGTTGGCCCTGGCGATCTCTTCCCTCCCCGCCGCTCTGTAGTCAAACGTGCACCCTTGCCGCTCCGGGTACCTGTGGGCCCCGCAGCACGTGACCCCGCACCTGCACGTGAACCCCGTCAGCCCCACCCGCTTCCGGCAGGTCCCGCACCTGATCGGCCCACACGGCGCCGCCGCCGCCACCGTCTCCCCCGGCCCCTCCGTCGCCGTATCAGGCGCATCATCGCGCCCTAACGACGACGAAGAAGACGCCGGGAGAGACAGGGGAAAAGACGATCCATCTGTGGGTTGTCGTCTTTTCGCCTCCGCCTCCACGGCGGCGGCGGCGGCGGCGTCCATGACAAAGTGCGCCGCCTCCTTGAGGCAATGATCCTTGTAGCACTTGGAGCACATGTCAAGGGTGGTGCTACTCCCGAAAAACCCGCAATTGTTGCGCAAAGCCGGTGTCCTCCACCGGCTTTGTGACACTTTTGTTCCTCCCCCATCTTCAATCTCTTTTTTTCTGCGAGAGCGGTTGGTTTTTGTTTTCGAACGAAATCAAAACAATCGCTCAACGCAAATAAAGATGGATCAAAGCCTGCATGAACATGCATGTATAGGATTAAAGGGATTATTAATACATAACTTTAATTATTGATGAAAAAAAAGATAATATGAGAAATCATTTGCTTACTTGATTGTAGGAAAAAAATTAAGGGGTTATGATTCTTGGGGGAGAAAAATGTGGGTGGAGAAGGCCGGAGAATAAAGGAGAGGGAGAAATGGGGGTGGCTATAAAATATTGGTGGTCTTTTTTTTAATGGGAGATGTGATATTTGGAGATGAATAAAGGCCCAAGAAAAGTATGATTGCTTTGTTTGTTTATTCAACTTTATTTTTTGGGTAACGTGTTTTTGTTGATTTTTGATATTATTCCATCTCAACTTATTTTTTACATTACGGTAAATAAACTAAAATTTTAATTTTTTTTTAAAATTTATTTTATTTAAAGATTGATATAAAAATAATAAAAAAAATTACACATTGAAAAATTGCGTCAAAGTTCTTCAAAGTAAAAAATAACAAAAATGTTTTATTAGTTTATCAAATAATCGATGAAAGCGTACAATTGAACAAAATTTTACGTGATTTTTGAATAATAAACTGTGATATTATTTTTGGGACGGATGAAACACATTCTTTACTTTGGTGTACATTATTTGGCTAGTTTTGAATTAAAAATAAAGTCGGTTAAATCTCGTAAACAAAAACGAAAAAAACATTTTAGGACGGAGGAAACATAAAAATGCTCAAAGTTTAACTATACACATCGGTTTGAAAAGCAGAGAAAGTTACGTTAAGGGTGAGCATTGCATTTCTTTGGTGTCACTTTTGTTTTGAGACCATATACAAATATACTCTCTTTGTATAGTAATAACGGTCTTTTTTTCATTCGTCTTTAAAAAAAAAGTCATTTTTATTTTTAAGAAAAATTCAACTTATTATTATTACATTTGTCCCAAAATGTTGTCCCTATTCAAACAATGTGTAAAATTTGAATACTTTTAAACAAGATGTGACAAAATATTTTATTTTATCAAATGATTAATGAAAACATACAAACAAATAAAAAATATCAAAAAAAAACATAATAGTAACAGTGCAATTCATATATTTTGGAACCAAAAAAGTACTCCGTATTATTCTTGTTGTTGTAATTATTGATGAAATAATATACACTGGGCCTAGTGGCAATGGATTGGGTCTACGAGAACAACTCATTAGGGGAAATGACGGGAAATCCTAGCCCCAAGAATTCTTTATTCTATAAATATAACACAACTACCCACGAAATGTCGTATTACACATCTTCTCTTGTGTAATTGATATTTATTGTTTCTCGAACCTTGCACGTGAATATTAGTTTTTTAAACTGTGTGATGATGAGATTGAATTTCGTGACTACTTGATTAACAAAGCTTTAATATCATGTCAAAAAACTAACTCAACCAAAAATTCAAATTTGTGATTGTAGTCCTGAAAAGGTTTGTATACTCTAACACACTCCTCATGTGAAAAGGCGTGGTTACTTCGAACCTTGCACTTGAAATCTTAATTTACTATTCACAAGTAATATTACCTACTTGTCCGACTATTGCTGAACATTTTTTGGACTATTGTAAGACTAGGTGTTGCGGATAAACTTATTGCAAAAGAGGGGAAGTCCGCCACCTTGAAATTACCGTCTGGAGAACTACGTTTTATATCCAAAAAATGTTCCGCAATAATCGGACAAGTAGGTAATATTACTTGCGAACAGTAACTAATAAGATTAATTTGTAACTAAATTTGACATGTGTCAAGTTGTTTTGCATTTGGAATTAGAAGAAGCAATTGCTTTGCAACAATGTGAGGGAGTAGCTTTCTTGACTATAACCACAATTGTTTGGAAAGAATCAGATTTGAATTTGTCTCATTCACATATTTGATCTAATTTTGTAGATGGGAATCAACTCATATGGTGAAAGAGGTCTTGAAAATTTTGATTGAGATAAAAGATTTCCTTAAAAAAAATAGGGATATCCTTTTATCCAATCAGAAAAGAAATACACCAGCAAGTAATTCGGTGAACGAAATCCAAGACCCCAGACGCGATTCCAGAAAAAGACTGAATTTAAAAATAACATGAAATATATTACGAAAACAAAGATAATGCGGCCGTGTTAGTTCTCACGGGTTCATAAATCAACATTCAGTTTTTTGTCTATGCTTGAGAATGTCTGATAGAATGCCTTAAAGTGTTTGTAGGCAATATCAATATCTTCTTTCCCACATATCTCTCGGACACTGCATCATGGAAACAAACAGGGAGAGTTTCTGAGACTGCCAAATATGAAGATCGCAACGAGTCACCGAGTTAAAGAAAGAAACACTAATGGCTAAATATTTTCCTAATGGTAGTGTAACTAGTGCATTTTTGTGCTTTGTGTTTTCTCTACTTTATGTGGCTTCTGTGATCTTATATTGTATGTGCTGCTTGAGCCCGGGGTCTCATGGAAACGGCCTCTCTACTTTCAAGTAGGGGCAAGGTCTGCGTACACACCCTCCCCACACCCTACTCTCGTGGATTCAACTATGTTGATAATGATGATGATGATAGTGTAATTAGTATAATCTGTTGTATTCGGATACAAGTGGATACAAGCAAACCATATTTCAGACTCCGAATAGATTGTGCGAAGTAATGAATAAGATACCTGTGCATGGATAGCTGAGCAATGCCACAATCAACGGTGCGAATACCAACCTTTGAAGCAAGTATGGGACCAATTGTTGATCCACATCCCATGTCATTTCTAGCCACGAAATCCTGCATTTCACAGCATCTAGTTTTTTCGGTTGATATTGTTGAAAAATTAGAACGAATTGTCTTGTTATTGGATGCAATAGATGTGGGCTGTGTAGGTGAAAGACACTTCCAGGGTTATACAGTCAGTAAAATAGTGTGCTCAATTCTATGATTGAAACTCACAACTGACTTAGAAAGAAGAAGTAAGAACTTCTGGACATAGCATCTAAGTTTTGAAACAGACGTCTTAGCACTGCACACTCCATTACATATGACTTGACCACTCACACCGAAGAGTCAGCTTTCTAATGGCAGCATTGTGCCTCACCTTCTTGCTCAGTTAGCAAAATGCACTCTTATGTTAGGAATTGGGTGTGAATACCATTATGTTCAACAGAAGGCTCGGCTATAACCCTTAATAGAACAATAAGTTGGCTTAACTAACATTTATTAGAATACATTCAATGTTTGCATTACCTCCGACAGATTGGCAAAGTAGAAGACATTGAAAATTGAAGAGAGAATTTGTGGAAAATTTTTTTACTCATGATATCATGAGTTCCACTTCCCATCTAACTCCCACCCCAAGCAATCCAACATTATCCAGTTCTATCACTTTTTAAAATTAATTAGGACCCGTTGATATGATATGAAATCTGAAATATGGAAGAAATGATATGGATTTTGAAATGACAATATTTGAAGAGATTTGAAATCTCATATGGTTGTCAGTGACATGTGGGGGTGGCCCGCAGTGAGGGCGGGTGGCCGGCGGTTCACGGAGTCATCAAAATCCTTGGATTGATACTTCCCAGAATTGGGAGATATCAAAGCATCCGCTTGGGATGATTGTGATGTCAGGAAATATAAAATCCAAACCTTGTTTAGGCTTCACCAAACACCTCTAGAGATTCTGAATTTCTGATATCATAAAATATGGGCCAAATGGGCCCTTAAAGAGTAGAACAACTTTCTCAAAGATGGCTAGTGGAAGACACCAAGGGAATGTTTGGGTTCCCAAAAGGCTAGGGAAAGGGATAAAGTGAACAAGAAAGTTATTTTCCCTCTTTTATTTTACCTCAGAAAATACAAAAAAAAAATGAAATATGATTAATACTTCTAAAAAGTTTACGTAGAATTAGGTTTCTTAGTCTTTATATGTGAGAAATAGACAAGTACAATACCTTCAAACAAATATCGATGTTAGATTTACTAAGTTTGAACCAATGTTTAATATCCCCCACAATTTTATATCCTTCCGAATTTCTCATATTATTCTCCCCATTTTCTTTCCCTTAAGTTTTCAGACGGACTCTAAATCAATTTCCATTACCTGAGTGGGAAGGTTGTGGATTCTTGCAACTTCTTTGAAAAGAAAAGATGTAACTCCACTTGTTGCATAGCGCTGGTTTGCATTATGTTTGATGACGAGCCCTTTCTGTAACTTTGGGTGGTGGTGTTCTTCATGCTTGTCAGTGAAATTCGGATGAACTCCATGAGCCATGTCAGCAGACACTACATTAAAATCATTTGACAAAAAGCTATCTTTGAGCTCCAAAGATTAAAAAAATCATATTCATGGACAAAAGTTAAGCCCTGCAAGTCTCTAGGCGTGAAAAAGTACCTAATGTGAAAATGCACTATTGATAAAAGCCTGAGTTCAAACACGGTACCATTTTAATGTTTTTGAACAAATAGAAATGCGACTGAGCATCTCAAGTGTAAGGAAAATTTCTTGTCCAGAATATTACATTTTTCAGCACTTGTCTTTATTTGATTTATGGCATATGTTAACCAAATAGGGTTCAACTGGGATGTTGTTGTTGTAGCTGTAACCAGCAAATTGTGATACTATTATGATATTCAGATTTGAAGCACACCTAAAAAATATGACAACGGGGTTATAAACCTCTAAATTAGTCCCTTGGTTCCCCACTACATTTTATTCAGCTTAATCACATCTTTACTTAAGGGCCTATGTGTTGCCTGTCTCAAACTTAGGGTGAAATGTGGAATGTGGTTTATGAAATGTGGAAATCTTCAATGAAGGCTCGATTTTAAAAAATTGTATTCATCCAGTCACCCTACGGCTTTTATTCTCAACAAAGGATCTCTACATATTTCCAAATAATTTATGCTTAGCTCTACAGATGAATTGTCCAAATCAAGAGTCCTATTATTTATAAGATTAATTGCCCTTTGTTAAATAATTTATTCTTTGGAATGATATCAAGCTTATACTTATTATTTGTCATATTTAAGAAATGATTTCTGAACTTTGATTCGAAATATAGAAACAGTCAAAATTTAAATGACTACAACATCTATGCATTCTATTTTATGATGCATGAGAATTATTATGAAATTAGCATCATCTTTCCTTCTATGCACTTTTATGATTTCACTTCAGAAGTACAGGTAAATGGACCAGTAGAAGCTTTTATAGTTGATTAAAGAAACATGCAAATGATATGTTTATAATGCAACTAAAATCAGCAATGTATAGTAACATTACAAT